GAAGAAGCGTCCTCTTCTGGGGAAAAAAAACCCAAACAAAACAAAACAAAAAAAAACAAAAAAAAAACACCAAAACACCAAACAACACCTCGATATTTCGGCTTGTTGCAGCTATGGGAGTCAGGATCTGTCTTCAGATAGAGCCCTCGGATGTTCATCAGAACTGAGGGATGCAAAATATCATGGTTGGTCGCCAACGACGGGTAGATCTCTTTAGATCCCTCGCCGTTCAATCCTAATAGTCAAATTAATCAGGAGGGTTGGGAGGAGGAAGCAACCATCCCCTGAAGCTTTTCCATCTTAGCGACTTAAAAAGACAGAGGTTGACGGAGGAAAGGAAAGGATTTCGGTAATTGATACTAAAAATTAATCTAAAATATTCTCTTCCAGATAAGGGTGGTCTCTTGAGATGTTCAAGCCTCTGGAATAATGCAATGCAATTAAATAAAACGAAAAGTATCAGAATAACCTTGATTTGAATCTGCCTTTTCTCTTTCCATGTATTCTGCAGTTTCCTAGCAAAATCACAAGCATAATGCTTCAGATTTTGGACAATAAACAGTCTGTCCTACATCACAGCACGGGGCTTCCATCTCGCCGATATAAAAAATAATCTATTGTTTAAATTATTTGAAAAAACGTAGTTAAGTATTGTAACACTTCCTTCTACTGTTGTTAAGGGAAAATCCTCATTAAAAAAATAGATGACTATGTATAGCTCCTTACCATAACAGACAAAAAGACAAACAGAAAAGAAATGCCAGTTAAGAACTTCAGAGACCGAAATATTTTAAATCCAAACAATAAGCACGTCTTTCTGAAGCTGCATTCCTGGCAAATATTGCGAAGAATTATCGCCTTATGGCATTATTTGCATTGGAAAAGGTAAGAAGGGGTTGCGCTTTTCGTTGGCCACAACCTTGTGAATTCCCTAATATTACGTTTTTCTAACAAACCTTTGTAGACTGTAATCAAGCCTCAAGTTTACAAAACACTGTCCTAATTAATGAGACTTATTTTTTCTCCTCCTGAAACTGTGACACCCCTTACCCTTCCTATGCGAGAGGAGCAGGAGCGACTGAAGCCAACAATCGTGTAATATTTTAATTAGCTCCTCTTGACGCAAATTCCTTTTAGCACACTTTTCTCCTGTTAATTACAGGCACCCACCCTATTGGCAAGGTGAATGGTCGGATTCAATATATTTTTTTTCCCCAAGCAAAACAGGGTGGAAAAAGGCAACAGTTTAGATACTATAGAACTTGACCTTTTGGAGACGAGCGGTAATAAGTTAAACAGTTCCCTTTGCACGCCATCTGTATATATATAAGCTGGGCTATCGAGTCGTCCTAGTTGTTTATATTCCTCCAAAGAAGAGATGTAGTTTCCCCCCCCACCCCTCCCCGCCTCGCTTTGTTTAGCTTAGCTATGGGTAAATGCGCTCACAGTCTCCCCACCTCTTAGCCATGCTTGTCCTTTGCAAAAACGTCCTGCAGCCGAGCCCCCAAATTCAGAGCGATTTTACTCTCTCTAATCCGGCCGAAATACATGGGAAGGCGTAACGAATGCATTTTGCTTCTCCAAACGAAATGCCTGCCTTTGTTTATGTTGTTTTCAGTGAGGTTAGCGAGGGGAAGGCTTGATTTCCACCCTTCCTCAGCGCGGAAATCCCAATTACAGTATTAAAAGAGCAATTCAACATTAGACCAAATAATCAACATTGATAATTGTGCTGAACACAGCAACTTAACAGCAGGCTCCCTGCAATTACCCGCACATTCCGGGGCTTTAAGCGTACGTTATCTCTGTTTCACTTCACAGCAAATAAAGCCGAGAACAGCCTGTGCCGTGGGTGCTTCCTCGTTCCCGGACGAGCTGCACCCCTCGCAGTCTTCACCGCCGCCCCCCTCCCTGCTTGGAATAGAGAGGCATTTTGGGGTCCCCTTGCATTGCAAACCCGCTTGAAGGAATAGGCTGCTTGGTTTGGGGGGGTCGGGGCGGAGGAGGGTTATGGGGGTCACGACAGCTCGACCGATTCAAAAGTAGACATGAGTAGACTGAGGCTGCATGGGTGCCCAGACCCACGCACAGGCACACACACGCCCATGGCCAGTTGCCTTCTCGCCCTCCTCGCCTTAATTTCTCTTTGTTTCCCTCTGGCACGGCGGAGTCTCGCATGGCTCCACAGCCCCGGCTGCAGAGAGGAGCGGTAAGAAGCCCCATACAAACCTGTGCCAGCTTTGCTCCTCACCGCCAGCCACCCCCCGGTCTGAAATTTATTGAAATGCAAGAGGTGGGGGGGCTGCTGCAAGTCCGAGGAGGTGGCGTCCCGCGATTAAGCGCCGGGCAGCTCTGTCGTGTCTGCTCTGACACAAGCTGAAGTTGACTGCCAAAGTGCTATAAAACCGCAGGTCAGTCTAGAACTGTTTTCGGTTCTCCTAGACGCGCCGTGCTCAATTATAGCCTTAAAAGCCCTATACAAGTGCAAGAATTTGTTTGCCATCACACAGAGGCGGGGCGAGGCTCGGCAATGGTGGCGCCTTTGTTATCTCAAAGTCACTGAAATCTTTATACATTCCTTTTTGTTTGAAGGGAGGGGTGTCTCCGTGTGCGCAGGGTATGGGGAGAGGTTTTTCATCGACGGGATTGAAGGGTGGGGGACGCAGGGGAATTAACCAGCGCTCGAATACCAAAAGAGGGCTTCAAATTCCCCCAACCATTCACCCGCAAAAGCTAGGAGGGGAAGTAAATGCGAACAAAAGTACTGCGTTAAGGAAAACGCCAACCAGAACTCTTGCACCCCCCACCGCAAGTTAAAAAAAAAACAAAAAAAAAAGAGACAGAGAGGGGGAGAGAGAGGGAAAATCCCCAAACGCTTTTGCAATCCCTAAACGACACTGCAGTCTTCTTCTAGCGGTTTTGACGACATGCAATCCCTTATCATCCACTTTCTAGCAAATATGTCAAGCTGGAAGATTAATTAATTAATTTCAAGTTCAGCTCGCAGACATGCAGCAAGCATAAGAAGTTCTTGCAGCAAACCAAAATAAAGAGTTCATTACAGGGATACGTCCAGAGCATTTGATTTGTGGACGGTAACCCTTGTAAAATAAGAAAAAGGCATATAAACATTAATGCTAATAAATTAGTTTACTCCACTACAAAGTAATTACTTGATAATATTGAATTTACAGCTTGAATTCAAACGCAATAGTTAACTATAATGT